CTTGGTTCATGCAACAAGTGATCAATTCGATGCAAGCATTAAGGTGAGAATATGAATGTAGACAATCTCAGGTTAACTTATCTAAGCTCAGCCAACGAAACCTATCCCTAGAACCCTAAACTAACTTGGTGACTACTCAGACATAACACAAGAACAGAGCATGATTTCTGAATAATACTGCATGTAAAATAGATATGAATTAAGAGGGTTCAGGATGATCTTCTCAAGGAGATAGATGAAGCCGTCTCCCTTACAAGTAGCAATTGCTCAAATCAAAGCTCTCAAGTCTTTCTTGCGTAAAAAATAAGGTAAAAAGCCTAGGAAAAATAAAAGAAGAATATATAGTAAGCCATAGGCGGCAGAAGAGAAAAGAAGGGAAAACTAGGGCAAATCCCGAGAAAAAGTCTTTATTTCCTAGATTGTCGCGGAACAGCTTGACAAACTGTTCTGATCACAGGGGAACATCTTGCCAGACTGTTCGCTTCAAGAAAATCTTCAAAACAGATTCCTTTCTACACGATCGTTCTCCTCATCTCTGGAACTCTTCAACCTGTAATGACTAAAAACAACTGGAAAGACTCGATAAAACCATTAAAATCATTAGTAGAGAATACCTATTCTATGTCAAAACTGTCCCTCTGTTCTTGGTTCTCCATATTTTTTATGTTCACACGAACATGACATACACTAACATTCCGGGAGGTACTGTACACAAAAAGAACAAAAACATATTCAACCATTAAGATTTTGTAGTCAATCGTTCATACACATTATCCCATAAGTTAACAAAATACATCCAAACCTTAGCATTTCCACATTTCCAAAAACAATTACAAAAGGATTTGAAAAAACATGAGTACGTCAGCAGCACCATCAAACGTACAAAGGCACCACCCACCCTTTGTACAGATCCATTGCAAACTGCTTCCTGAAGATGTCTACAACCTCATCATTCAGGACTGAGTTTCTAACATCCATACCATTAGCATGCATCTCCATGAGTTTTGCAACCAAGGGCACACAATCTCCACCTCGGGTGCTGAAGTAAATACCTTCAACCCTCTCAATCAAGAACGGAGCAAGCTCATGATCACCGGCATCCACGGTGGGGCTTACTTTCCTCGCAATGTATGGAAGCATCCTCGACATATCAGCCAACCACTCCGCAACCTGTTCCTCAGAATTCAAACCAGGGTTTGGGTCAAACACCATAACTCTCCACTCTGATAGGCTAATGCACAACCCAACCCAATGACTATCACCCCACTTCATTGGCGTGTAAAGCCTGTCCACTTCCACACCCCATGTCATATCCTTCTTTGTCAGGTATTTTGTTACCCGGGCATCAGCCACAACAACAGTTTTATCATTTGCCGCCTTGAATGACCTCGCTCTCCCTTGCAAATGACCAGAAAACCAGGGCAGAACAAACATACCCTGGTTCATCAGAACAGGTGGTCCATGCCTCTCCTCAATAAACTTCAACAACACCTCCATATGCTGTTAACAGAAACATTCAACCCACAACAAAAAATTGGTCAGACTTTTTGTTCGGGAAAAAAATCAATGGATGCAAACAAATTAGGAAAATTGCAAATTACCGTCGCAGACAACATCTCCTGTGAGGTTGCTAGTTCAATGAAGAACTTATTGTTAAGATCATGTTTGCCCCCTGCCTTCGCATGCGTCCTGTCCGCAACAAAAAAAACCATTTAACAGCATGTACTATTACATGCAAACACATCCAAAATATTAACAGAAACGCTCACGCTTCCTGACTCGACTCCAAAACATCTATGAAAGTCCGGTAATCACAGTCCTCAACCAAAGGAACAATATCGGGCACTACGTAAGGATATTTTGTCAGAAACAACACCGCCAAGTTGGATTCTCTCTCAGCCGGTCTGCGTGGCGAGATCCCCACACTCGACCCAACATTGACAGTCGCCTCATCACTGACTCCCTCGCTCGACAAAACAACCTGACAACCAAAAAACTATAAAGTTAAATATAACAGCAATCTACACGCTCCGTTGGAAGCAAGTGTACAAGATGCAACAGCTATCTGATGTCCATCTGGTGGACACAACCTACTGTCCACTTTAACTACCTGAGACACCTCATCCGCTGACGCCACTGTAACCGATTCAATTCTACCCACACCAGCCTCGATCTGCGAAATATAACTCCCATTTTTTTAAAAAGGTCTTATTGACAATATATTTAGAAACGAAATAACAAGACACAACTACGTCCATATACCTCAACCGGATCCTTTTCGATCTCATCTCATGTTCCCAAACAACTCACAGCTTCCCTAACGGTAACCTACAACACAATCGTCTGTTAATTCCATGCAACCACATTTCTGCGTACATAAATTTAGGGGTGGGCACGGATCGGATATCCGGGTTTTTTAAGGTATTTGTGATTTGATTCGAATGTTACGGATATCTAATTTTAGTATTTGCTTTGCTTCGAAAAAATACGGATATCCGGAAAAACGGATATCCGGAAAATAAATAGATATTTGCGGATATTTACGAATATTTACGGATATCTCACATATTTTGATTACTACAAATAATCTTAAGATTTTGATACAAATTTGCTTTGCAAAAATATTTTTTTGCATGATATATAAAATAAAAATTAAAAGAACAAGTGAATTTACATATTTTGTAATTTTTTTTAAGTTTGAGTTACGATTATAATAACACAAAATTTAAGGAAAAAAATATAATTGTCATAAATTTTTTCTCTCTTTTATGTAATACTTTTATATAAGTAATAATGTGAATAAAATTGTTCAAAATCATGTGCTAGAATAATAATTATATAATTTTATACATTTAAAAGTTCAAATATAACCAAGATATACATATATTTATATATTTACGGATCGGATCGGATATCCGCTTCCCAAAATTTTAATATTTGTGATTTGCTTCGATTTTAACGGATATTGAATTTTAGTATTTGCTTTGATTCGAAAGTTTACGGATATCCGAAATTTTCGGATCGAATCGAAACGAATAACGAATCGAATCAAATATAACGAATAAAATGCCCAGCCCTACATAAATTATGTCACTGTACAGGTGAACAATGAAACTAGTGTCCACGAAACTCATACATTATCCCCCGTAGGTTCAGCATCCCTCTCTTCCTCTCCACCAACATCCGACACTCCTAAAACGCTTGTCTCCTTCGGTATCACACCATCCTCGGTCTGCGAAAAATTCACTCTCATTCTCAAAAAAGAAGACTTTATTGACAAGAAATTGTAAAACAAGCCATCTTAAACATATGTCTATATACCTGAACCGGATGTTTTTCCCTTTCGTCGGAGGCGCACAAGCTACTTTCCGGTTCCCTCGTCACAACCTACAACACACTCTACTGTTAATTCAATGCAACCAAATTAACTGCGAAGAGTGTACACCACATATATCTATGTACATGTGTACAATGATAGACAGTGTCCACCAATCACATACATGTTCGCCAGTAGTTTCAGTCACCCTCTCATCCTATACCCCAAAGCTTAAATCCTTCAGTCTCATAGTATCACCATCGTTCCTCTGCAAAACAACAACAAAATACAAAAAAATCATACAAAAAATCAACAAAGGCATATCAAGTCCACCGATTACGGTGTACACAATAGCATAATAGTGTACAGGTTTCAACAATTCAAGTGTCCAGCAGACTCGTACATGGTCTCCCGGAGGTGCATAATCCCTCTCATCCTCCCCCGCAGCTCTCGACACTCCTACGATGCTCCTCTCATGACGAGTCGTAGTATCCCTAGCCATCCTCTGCCAAAAAAAAAAAACGATATACTTAGTTCAAAGGTGGGAAAGCAACTTTCCTAAAACAGTACATTAATTAAAAACATTTACAGGTATCTCAGCAAGTGGACCAGTATCCATAGCACCGTCTACCACAGCAGACGATAGTTGACGATCCAACACACCAAAATCTACGTATGTTTGGCTACCAACCCCGCTCAAGTCATGTCCACTCTTGTTGGCCTGAAAACATACATCAATCTCCCAAAAAGGAAAAAAAATTAAACCAAGGTAGGGGGAAAAAAAATATTTACCATTGCCTCAGACAATCCCGTAACCCGGTCTACCAAATCTCCCAACCTCCCAACATCCTGCACGTTGGAACAACTATTTTTATCAAAGAGAGACTGGACTAACGGGATAAAATCTAACATCTACCACAAAATAGAAACTCACCTCACGATTTAGACCGTTCCCGGGACTACCACCACCGGTACATCGCCTTCAAAGCTATCACCCTGCCCATCAATGTAACTCAGTGGGTTAACGTTTGCTAACACGCCACAATGACCACCACGACCCATACCTACCTGACTATCTGTTACAAAGTAGGTGTTGCTAGTCGTTCCGTCATATAACACATTCCCGTCCAAACCGGGTCTGCCACCTTCAGCCCACTGCAAAGGGAGCCCATCTCCTTCCCTCATCCTAACTAACAAACGTGGTGCCTCGTCCGACGAAAAACTATCAACAGCCACGCTTTGGGGAACCCCAGTTTCCTCCACTTCATGCATCTCGTCCACCCCATGTCCGTCGACCGAGTGTTCTCCGCTACCCCCAACTTGATCACCGCCACGGTCAACAAAATCAACGTCATCAATTCCAGCTTCTTGTTGAGACGCTGCAGTCTTTTTTTTTTCACTGAATCACGCTTCCTGCCACGTCTGCGTCCAACTCGGCGAACAAGCAACTTCACAGTCTTCTTCAAAGAGACAATCTCCTTCTTAAGCACTGCAACCTCCGTAGTCAGGCGGGCTACATCCAAAGCTACGGCACTTCCAGCACGGTCGCAATTTTGACTATCTTGTCTCTGACTCACGGAAGGACCTTCTCCGTCACACTCCGCACCATCAGCACTCTCACTCACCCTTCTCTTCTTCTTCTTCTCACCACCATGAACATAAAGGTCCACCCGCATGTCCCCTCCTCCCCAGTCAGCCTTACGGAATACCCTTCCCTTTCGCAGCTCCCCAGCCATGTAAGCAACTGCCTGATCCATCCTCTCGTCGTCAAAAGGTATCCAGTCCTCGCCACCGAGATTTGCCAGCTCAGCAAACTGTTCCCAGCCGCCAGCAGCCTCCATATATCTTCTTTGATATTGCTCAAATTAACCTTCAAGCTACTCTCTCAAATAAGAGGTTCAATGTAGTACTTGAGGATCGAATCCACAGAGACCAAATTTTACACTTTATAATTATAGGATCAAAATTAAGCTAAAACAATATGGGGTTTTAAAATAAAGAAAACGTAGAAAGCAAGTAACAAGTTGGTTTGGTTTCAGATTATAAAANCCTAACATCTACTCTCGCTGGCTAGGGACAAATCGCCTATCTATGCCTTTTCTAGCAACCTAAAACACTTTTGATGATTAGATTAAACCTGATATCAGATGTTGAATGGCCAGTTTAACACAAGCAGTAAGTATAGCAATAGATAGAGATATCAAGAAATAACAATCCTATTTGTGTATAGCTCATTGATCCATGATCCCTAACACCCTAAACCTAACAAGTGACTACTCAGCCATGAACAGAGAAATCACAGAGAATAGAGATGAAGAAAACATGTCTGAATCAATAAATAATAAGCAAGAGGGTTTAGAAATCTTCTCCAAAGGTTGTAGAGATCCTTCTCCCTCAAAATTACAAAGTATTTAAATCACAATAATCCAAAAGCTCTAGAGTTGTTTCTCTGGTAAAAAGTAGCGTCGAATAATGTAGAAAATAGGAAAAGAAGATATATGGAGGCTGCTGGCGGCTGGGGGAGAAAAAATAGGAGAATTAGGGCAAATCCCGAAATATGTTGTATTTCCCTTAAAAATCGCTGCCGCAGGAACAGGCGCTTCAGGCTGCTCCGCTCACTCGGGAACAGTTTGCAGACTGTTCCGCGTGAAAATTCCCAGATTGCACTCTTTTTCTCCAACTGGTCCATCTTCCATCCAAAGCAACTCCATACCTTTAATGACTTAGAAAGGACTAAAAAGACTCGATAAAGACTTAAAAACACTTTAGAAAACATTGTTAGAATATGCTAAAAACACCATATATCAATTCCCCCAGACTTAGATCCTTGTTTGTCCTCAAACAATGCCGAGTATCAAGAACAGGAAGAAAGGTTTGAAAGTGTGGGAACTCTCTTATGGCTCAATAACCATACTTTAACTACGAATCTCTGAACCATACAAGCAGTAAAACTAGGACAACACACCCTTACCAAAACCCCACTGACCGCTGTTCAAACCGGCTCCATACTCTGTATCTCAGACCTGCAAAAGTTAAACCTTCCAGACAA